TCTATTATATCACAATGCAGGAAATGAGCATGGCTCGGAACCCCCTATAAATCTTCAGGTTCGTTGATATAGTCATCAATGTACATATTATCTTGACGACTAATTAAGTTTCATTATACGTTTTCTCTTAAAATATCCGGATTCCATTAGGGTTATGTGCTCGGGAACCCTTTCACTAATGCCAGGATCGATTTCAACTCACGTGTTCCATTCGCTCGTGGAATGGGACTGATCTCCGACGAGCTCTACGAGGTTACAAATCAAGAACCGATCGATATCTCTCTTCTTGTTTTCGACTTATTTAGTAAGTCCGTAAATCGTTTTTTTGTCAGTCGTTGAAGACATCTTGTCATGAGGATTATATAGACGTGGACCCGAACAACTTAGAGTGCTCGAGATGCATGAAACGTTATCATGAGGTCAGAATCTGCCGTTTAAATTCGAGGTTTTGATCGGAACTTATCAATCTGATGCAGACTTTGTGATTCATTTTCAGTGTGTTTCAGGGATCAACAAAGCACTTATTCAGAGTCTATCTTGCAATGTTTCGATCCCGAAGCCGTCTTCCTCGGAGTATACACGAAGGCGATACCTTGGAGATTTCCCCGACACCGATCTCTCTTTCACGCCTTCTAGCTGCTATGTAATGGCATTTTCTACATTCGTCTTTTACTCATACATCCCACATCCCATTTAATTAACCTAACGATCGAAATCAAACTCAAATGATTTTCGATGTATTATTTACAAAGAGATACAAATTCTTATATAGTTGCTTTTGATTTCTGTACAGAAATACAGATTAATCCTATCCATTTACTGGGCGAACGATGAAAATGTACGTAGAGCACTTCATGTTGTCAAGGTAAGAACAGTTTTATTACAAGAATTCATCTTATTTTATAAAGTTTTTTTTTAATAGAATTCATGTGGCAATTAAATTTCAGGGAAGTATTAGAAAATGGGTACGGTGTAATTGGGATTTACCTTACGTCAAAGATATCGAGAACAGCATACCGTACCATATGAACAACAGCATCAAAGGATATCGATCTCTAATCTACAGGTGACGATTATATGCCGACCATTAATAATTTTCTAACGTTTTGTATATTATTCTCTATTACGGAGATTAGGTTTACATTTTTTCGTTCTCAAACATCGATACGCTTTCATATTTTGGCGAACAGCGGAGATCATGACATAAATATACCGTTCTTGGGGACTCAAGCATGGATAAGATCTCTCAACTTCTCCGTCATCGACGACTGGAGGCCGTGGAAGATCGATGGCCAAGTCGCCGGGTACTACAACTACCGCATTTTTTTTATCTTGGATTTGCGTTTTCTTCCTTGAAAGACGACGGAAACATATATTTTGGTCGGGATTGATCCGTCCGCTTCGGACAGGTACACGAGGACGTATGCAAACAACATGACATTTGCCACCATCAAGGCAAGTCTCTCTTGCCTCGAAACTCCTTTTCTTCATCATCTTATAGAGATATTTGACCACGAAGTAACCTATCCTATCATAAAATATGAAGAGTTTTAATTCGTATAGAATTTAGATGTTAAAGTGTGTTTTGTAAAAATTTTTAGAGAAAATCCACAAAAAAATCAACTTTTTAATTTTGATAACAAAAAAATATGATTTATTTTATTAAAAAACAATATACTATTTAAGTTGTGTAAATAACAACTGAACTATTTTACGAGTGTTAAATTAAAACCAAAATTTGGTATAGAATGAATCGAAAAATTCAAATAGAATCAATTCAATAAAATCGGGTTTCAATGAAACCCTAAATTGATTTCACCATTTTATAAACATATTTTAGGGTTGAACATTCTACTCTTATTCTTCACCTTTCTATAATGATATTTAGTCTCAAAATAACCATGTAAAGCTATAGAACATCACCGGAGATTTTGACCATACTGTTGAACTGTATATTTTCTTTATATTATTTCTTAAAACGCCAATATACGTACACATGTGTTTGTATATGTATATATAGTTGTGATTATGGTATTCGTATTTGTAGGGAGGAGGGCACACGGCGGAGTATACGCCGGAGAAATGCAGTGTTATGTTCCAAAGGTGGGTAAGCTTCAAGCCTCTGTAAAGATACCGTATTTACAAATATATCTTTGAATTTATGTAATTTGAAAAACTGCCCCGTATTTTCCAGTAATTTATTGTTTCTGCCCAAGGTTTAGTTTCCAGGAAGACATAAGGTTTACTTCCTCACCAAAAAAAAAAAAAAAAAAAAAATCGATTGG